AGAGAAGAGTTCGATGATCGACAAAAGTTTCGACGAAGAATCGAATAGTTCCTATCGATCGATTCCCTCTATTCTCCTCGATCCCTCCCCTTCTTTCCTGATTTAATATCGAGAAAAATTAGCCTCGACTCGGGGGAAACAGGGACGGGAGGTCGTCGAGAGACGTCTCTGAATCGCAACGGATCGCCGACGGATCGTCGTCGGGGTTGGCCTGGAACTTTCGTACGAGGTCGCAGTTCCCATCCGATATTAAGAAACTTTCCATCGGTTTCTCGTGCTTCCTCGCTCGAAATGAAGTCACGGATGCGCGTGCAACAGGGACAGAGTGAGAGGCTTTCTGGAGAGGTTTTGCGGAGAGCGCTCGTGGGGAGGGGGGAGAGCAGAAGGAGGTTAGAGCTCGCGAGAAGATATAGAGATAAAGGGGTCGAATGAGCAGAGCGTCATTAGCATCCGTGGATGAGAGGAGAAACAGGAAACGCCTCGTTCCTTACTCGAATTGGCATATCTCTGGGCGGTGTTCCGAGAGCGATAGACGGGGAGAAAGATAGAGTTTGGACACGAGGTAATATCGGATGGATACGCGTGTATTCATCTAGCCGGTCACCGGATTGCGATCCTCGAACAATTTGCGCGAACAGGCAGGCTGGATTAGCCAATAAGCCTAATGGAAGACGCCCGTTTCCTAGGACAGGCGAATGATCGTCAGCCGGCCATTCTGATATATTCATGATCGGCTGGAATATCGGCCGATGCGCGCTGCTACTCGCGTTGATCATTTCCAACCCCCTCGGGCCTTCTGTCAAGCGTGACGAAGTGGATTGCGCTGTCGCGATAGACCTAGTTTCTTCCTAGTGTTTCGGATTTTCGGGGAAGCGGAATTTTGAACGGGAGTCGAGTTAAACGCATCGTTGATGGATTTTCTTCGAAAGTGATTAAGTATTCGTCGTGCGCGGGTAATAAACGTGGGAAGAATTTTTGAATTTTCGTCGACGTTTCGGATCGATTGAGGATTATTAATTAAAAAAAAATCTGAATTCGTTCAACAATGTTGTTTTATAATCGTCGTCCATCTCGAAAACTAATTCGTCACGATCGATTCCTCGTCATCGTGTCGTTCTGTATGCACAGAATTCAATTTCCAAGATGGCAGGAGCGAAAATGGCCGAGTCTTTCGACGAAATTATAAAGATATTCTTGCCTTCATACTTGATGGCCAAGAATTTACATATTTCACCACGTGTTTCCATATATTTGAAAAGTCCTACGTATAAGCGTAATTTGGAATTAAACTCGGTGTGGCGACCGAGGGATCACGGGATCACGGGGAACGAACCTCCGAGGGAAAAATTAAAAGCACAATTATGCGAGATTCTTATTCATGACCGTCGACTCTTGCTGCTCCCTTATTTCTCGAGCGTTAATCCTCTTTTCCTTCAATAAGTTTCGCGAAATTTTCGGATTTCTTCCCTCTAACGATGTTGAATCTCAACCCCTGGATCGGGATTATAACTTGCCTCTACAGACATAGTTATCTCGGCTCTTTGACCGGGGAAGGAGTCGATTTAAAATATATTCGTAGCGAGATTGCCAAGTTAACTGGAGCGCGCGTTATATAAATTATACGAACGAATCAAATCCGTGAAAAGAGTTTTGAAAACGTAGCCTGAATACAACTAATTTCGACGGCGAACGCTTCCGGTTCCCGCGCCTTCTCCTCCTCGAACTTTTTCCCCTTCGCCAAGATTTTTCACGTTGTCAATTTTGCTTGGAATTTTCCTTTGTTCCTCGTTTGTTTCTATTTTTTCCCTTTTTTCTGTTTCGTATTTTTATGCCAGAGTCTCTGGTTCGTATTTCCTTTTCTTCGTATAGATAATGGTTATTTTAATGTCGAATGTTAAAAGAAAGAAGAAAATTTCCTCGAAGGTATTATTTAATTAGAGAGATTATTATTATTTTAAAAAATGTTATTTTTACACGTTTTTCTTTTGGATTCTATTTTCGTTAATTTACTTTTTCCTCTTGCTGCCCACTAGATAATATTTTAATTGCGTTAATGTGAAATATTAAAAAGAAGAAAGAAAACGTTTCCTCGAAGATATAATTCAATTAGAAAAACTTTTAAAAACTTCTCTTTTGGGTTCCATATGACAATTTGTATCAATTAAAGTGTTTCTCGAGTATAAAAATTCTTCCAACTTTAATTCGCTTTTTTTTCTCTCTCTTTCTCGAATTCCAATAACTTCTTAACTTTTAAAGCTTATCGTAGCTTGTCGACGCGACGAAATTTTCAAATCTTTCAATCCTTCTGAATCTTAATCCACCGAGCCATTGTCCAAGATATTCCGTTTAAAATTAGTTTCCTCGGTACATGGTCGGTGGTCCATCGTTGAGATTTCTGCATCGATGAGAGAGGGGATGTTCATCCCCCTGGAAGCAAGAAGGGCAGGAAGTCTGGAGAGTTGATACGATTCTGGCCGACGAGGAACTTCTTCGTGGTGCAAGTTTCTCCTCCTCCTCGATTCCACGGGCCACGTGTTGCGGATATACGACATCGATGTGACTCCAAGTCGCGGGACAAGACAAACGGAACTCCCGAGATCCTGTTCCCGCTTTGATTCCGGCTTCCATTTCAAAGCGGTTCGCTTTCAGATGTGAGGGGAAGGGGAGAGGGGGAGGGGAGAGATCCTCCTCTTTTTCGATAGTTGAGTTGTCGAGAGGAATTTCACTTTGTTATTAGATTCTGGTTTCGATCGAAGGGGGATTTAATTGAAGGAGATTCTGTTTTAAAATTTATTTTATCAAGTATGTTTTTTTTTTTTTTTAAATAATTAAAAATATTGAGGCATTTTTTTGAATCGTTCAAGCAATGGAAAATGGTGATCGGTCATCTTCTTATAGGAAGATTCATAATTTTCACGAAAGTTTGTTTGTTTTTTTTTTTTTGCTGAATGTAATTATCTAGGATTTATTATCTATTTTTCCATATTCAAAAATTTGAATATATATTGAATATATATGTTTAAAATCTTCTGTTCCACATTCATAAAAAGTTATTGTATTTAAAGGGAGAACATCAAGGATTTCTTTAAGTGAAATGATGCTATAATAATATTTTATTTATCGTATAAAATCGCGCATAAACTTTTAATCTAATTTAATCATTATTGTAGATTACATCGAGATTAAACAACAGAGACGTTAAGAAAGAAAAAGAAAAAGAAAAAACTTGGCTCCACTTATGCATCACGTATCCGTGTCGTTGTTACTCGATTCGAACGAGGATAAAAATGGTCCCAACGAATAATTCGGTCCTGGCTTACACGTTATTTCGTTAATAAAAATTCGCGAAGAATCCTTGGAAATAAATGGCAAACGAATATGAAACGAACTTCCTTCCCGCCGCTGACAAATATTTTTTTCATTCTTCCGCGGTTGGTTATCGGCGAGCGTGGCGGAAATTTGGCGAATATACGATCGTTTCCAGTAACGAGTCGGTTGAGTGGGGAATAAAAAAAGAAAAAAAAAGGAAAAAGAAAGAAATTCTCTCGCCTCTCTTATTGCGCCTTCGGGCTATCGTCGGATATAATAGAGTTTTCTAGGACAGAGACACTATGATAGTTGATAGGCGGCATTGTGCGCCTTTCCACTGATATTCCATTCGAGAGACATAACGCCACCTTTCTCGAAACTGATTCATGGTTGTCACTCGCTTTGATATAGAGATTGATGAACGTAATATACAATGATCGTGGCCAGTGACGAATTGCTCGGTATTTCTATTGCGTGGAGATGGAAATTTAAAGTAAATCTCGAAAGGATTGGAGGGGAAATAATTAATTGGTCGAATTGAAGGATTTTGGATTTTTTATTCTAACGAGGGATCAGAATAAAATAGAATGATTCGATGAAATATCTGCGAGGCTTACTTATTAAAAATATGGATATTTTTTAATTAGTGGCGGGGGG